CGTGTCCCCCCTTTGACGATGACGATGACAATGAGGATGAAGATGGCAATGACGATGATGAAGGTGACCATGACAACAACCATGACAATGACCATGACCATGACCATGACAATGATGACGATGACCATGACAGTGATGATGAAGATGATGACCATCACGACAATGATGATGACAATGATGAAGATGACGATGATGACAATGATGAAGATGACGATGATGACGATGACCATGACAATGATGAAGATGACGATGATGACGATGACCATGACAATGATGAAGATGACGATGATGACGATATGATGACAATGACGATGATGACCATGACCATGACAGTGATGATGATGATGACCATGACAATGATGACGATGAAGACGACAATGGTGATGAAGATGATGACCATCACGACAATGACGACAATGATGAAGATGACCATCACGACGATAACGGTATGATGACAATGACGATGATGACGATGAGCATGACGATAATGATGACGATGACCATGATGACAATGATAATGACCATGACAATGACCATGACCATGATGATGAAGATGATGACCATCGCAACGACGATGGCAATGATGACCATGACCATGATGGTAAAGATGACCATGACAATGATGACGACCATGACAACAACCACGACAATGACAATGATGATGATAACAATGATCATGACCATGACAAGGACCATGACAATGACCATGACCATGACCATGACCATGACGATTTTGACAATGATGATAACAATGATGATGATGATGATGACCATGACAATGACCATAACAATGACCATGACCATCCATGGCCATGACCATGACCATGACAATTACCATGACAATGACCATGACCATGACGATTTTGACAATGGGGCTGGGAGGGGCCGGGGGGGCGGGAACCCCCCCAAAAATTTTGGGGGGGTGTTGGGGACACCCGCACCCCAAAATCTGGGGCATTTCTGGGGAGAAAACCCCAAAATTTGGGGTTTTTTTGGATGATAAAACTCTGAATTTGGCTTTTTTTTTTGAGGAACCGCCCCAAAATTTGGGGTTTTTGGGGTGAAAGAGCTCGAGGAGAACCCCAAAAACATTGGAGGGGCTGGGGACACCCGCACCCCAAAATCTGGGTCCTTTTGGGGAGAAAACCCCAAAATTTGGGGGTTTTTGGGTGAAAAAACGCTCTGAATTTGGGTTTTTTTGGAGGAACTGCCCCAAAATTTGGGGTTTTTGGGGTGAAAGAGCTCGAGGTGAACCACAAAACTTTGGGGGGGGGTGTGTTGGGGACATCCACACCCCAAAATTTGGGGTTTTTTGGGGGAGAAAACCCCAAAATTTGGCGGTTTTTTGGATGAAAGAAGCTCTGAATTTGAGGGTTTTTTGGAGGAACCGCTCCAAAATTTGGGGGTTTTTTTTGAGGAACCGCCCCAAAATTTGGGGTTTTTGGGGTGAAAGAGCTCAGGGACACCCCAAAATTAATGGGGACACCCCAAAATCAAGGACGAAGCCAGAAGATTTTTGGAACTTTTATTTGACAAAGTCAAAATTGGGGGGGGGGACGACCCCAAAATCCCCTCGGGGGGAAATTTGGGGACCCCCCCCCCAGGTGAGATTTGGGGTTTTTTGGGGACCCCCCAGGGGGATTTTGGGGAACTCCCCTGAGGGAATTTGGGGATTTTTGGGTTCCTCCCCAGTCCTGGTCACACCTGGAGGATTTTTGGGGTCCCCCCAGGTGGATTTTGGGTTTTTTTGGGGCCCCCCCAGTGAAATTTGGGTTTTTTGGAGTCCCCCCGGTGACATTTGGGGTTTTGGGGGGCCCCCCAGGTGAGATTTTGAGTTTTGGGGCCCCCCCCAGGTGAGATTTGGGGTTTTTTGGGGCCCCCCCAGGTGACATTTGGGGTTTTTGGGCCCCCCCAGGTGACTTTTGGGGCCCCCCCAGGCATATTTTGGGTTTTTTTGGGGCCCCCCCAGGTGGATTTTGGGTTTTTTGGGGTCCCGGTCACACCTGGGGGGGCTCAGGTGGGATTTGGGGTCCCCCCCCCGTCACACCTGGGGGGGGTCGCTGGGTCCTCCTGTGGGGGCAGAGAGAGAAGAAGGGGCTGGAGACCCCAAAAATCCCAAACCCCAAAATCCCCAATCCCCCAAAATCCCAAACCCCCAAATCCCCAAAATCCCATGACCATAACAATGACCATGACCATCCATGACCACGACAATGATGATGATGACCATGACCATGACAAGCACCATGACAATGATGATGACAATGACCATGACCATGACCATGATGATGATGAGGATGACCATGACCATAACAATGGCCATGACCATGATGAGATGACCATGACCATTACCATGACAATGATGATGACAATGGCCATGACCATGACAATGACCATGACAATGACCATGACGACGATGATGACCATGACCATAACAATGGCCATGACCACAATGATGATGATGATGAATCCCAAACCCCAAAATCCCCAATCCCCCAAAATCCCAAACCCCCAAATCCCCAAAATCCCAAACCCCCAAAATCCCCAAATCCCCAAAATCCCAAACCCCCAAAATCCCAACCCCAAAATCCCAAACCCCCCAGACGATTTTGGGATCCCCAGGTGAGTTTAGGGTCACCCCAGGTGAATTTTTGGGGTGCCCCAGGTGCTCCCCAGGTGAGTTTTGGGATCCCTCAAGTGATTTTAGGATCTCTCCAGGTAATTTTGGGGTCCCCCCAGGTGAATTTTTGGGGTCCCCAGGTGAATTTTGGTCCCCCAGGTGAATTTTGGGATCCCCCAGGTGAATTTTTGGGGTCCCCCAGATGAATTTTTGGGACTCCCCAGGTGAATTTCTGGTTCCTCAGGTGAATTTTTGGGACTCTCCAGGTGAATTTTTGGGACCCCCCCCGGTGAGTCTGGGGTCCCCAAGGTGAATTTTGGGATCCCCCAGGCGAGTTTTTGGTTCCCCAGGTGAATTTTTGGGACTCCCCAGGCGAGTTTTTGCCTCTCCAGGTGATTTTGGGATTCCCCAGGTGAGTTTTTGGGATCCCTCAGCTGATTTTGGGACCCCCCCAGGTGAATTTTTGGGACCCCCCAGGTGAACCTTTGGGACCCCCCAGGTGAGTTTTTGCCTTCCAGGTGATTTTGGGGTCCCCCAGGTGCGCTCGGGACCCCCCAGACCCCAAAATCACTCCCGGGGTCGCTCAGGGAGGAGTTTAATGCAGCAGCCAGGTACAGGCAGGTGAGCCCGGGCTGAGCAGCCACGCCCAGGTGTGCCCAGGTGTGCCCAGGTGAGCCCAGGTGAGCTCAGGTGAGTCAGTCCAGCAGCGACAGCCCCCCCAGAGAACCCAAAAAGACCCCAAAAAAGCCCCCCAGAGTGAAGCAGCCGTGCCCAGGTGAGCTCAGGTGTGCCAGGTGAGCCCAGCTGTGCCCAGGTGAGCTCAGGTGAGCCCAGGTGTGCCCAGGTGAGTCAGGCCAGCAGCTCCAGGAAGCGACAGCCCCGAAAGAACCCAGAAAGACCCCAAAAATCTCTCCCAGAGCGAAGCAGCCGTGCCCAGGTGTGCCCAGGTGAGTGCAGGTGAGCTCAGGTGAGTTCAGCAGTGCCCAGGTGAGCTCAGGTGAGTCAGGCCAGCAGCTCCAGGCAGCGACAGCCCCCCCAGAGAACCCAAAAAGACCCCAAAAAGGCCCCCCCAGAGCCAAGCAGCCGTGCCCAGGTGAGCCCAGGTGTGCCAGGTG